GAGCATCATTTTTAAAGACGACTTTCCATTGTTCACCCTCTTCATGCCATTTTGGGAAGGATTCCTAAAAGAAGTTGAGGAGGGGATGATCTGGCCTTTGGTGAATAGCAGCCAGTGGCGTGGGGGAGGGGTGGGCTCCTGGGTGAGGCAGGTCCTAGGTTAATAAGAACCTGAGTAAATGAGGCTCCACTGGGTTGAGGCTATGCCGACCACCAAACCAGGCCTCTAGTTCCATGGGACCCACAAGGTTGAATAATCAGCACCGGCCTCTGACAGCTATTTCCTGCCAGTCATCCAGCCTTGAGCCAACACATGGGATTTCTGTTGTACTCCAACCTCCTCGGACATCCCTGCCTTTTGGTGCCCAGTGTTGGCTGGAATGGACTCCAGACTTGTTCTGAAAGGGCTTGAGTCACCTCCACTGGGTTAACACCAATGGCTTCTGGGCTCCAAGCCCACTCCTCTCTTCTCTGCTCTGTGCTGTGGGGCTGGACTCTGCAAACTACACTTCCCAGGCCCCTCTGCATCTCCCTGCCAAAGAGAGGTGCAGGTGGGAGATGGACCAGAAGGGCGGGAGAAGGAGAGGAGAAACTGTTTTCTGGCATTTAGCTGAGGTCAGCATTCTTCAGCAGCCTCTAGCCTCCAGCCCCCTTTGCTTCTTCCGTCTCCTCTCTGCATTCCTCAGTGGTTCAGAGGCAGCTGGTCCACGGGGCTTCAGCAGTGAAAGGACAGGCTGTGCAGTGGCCCAAGCACCAGCTGCTCCCCTCCCTCTGGCTTCTGGTAATACCTCTTCCTCCTGTTGTTCTTTAGCTCTGGAACCAGCAGTTGCTTCTTGCAATGATTAATCTCTGATAATTTTAGCATCCCCCCATTTGTTCTATGGGGCTTCCCTTGTGGCTCAGCTGGTAAAGAATCTGCCTGGAAGGCAGAAGACCTGGGTTTAATCCCTGGGTTGGGAAGATCCCCTGGAGAAGGGAAAAGCTATCCACTCTAGTATTCTGGCCTGGAGAATTCCATGCACTATATAGTCCATGGGGTCACAAAGAGTTGGTCACGACCGAGAGACTTTCACTCACTTATTTTTGTTCTAAAGTCGGTATAATCAGTTCCCTGTATTAAATCCATCAGTGTAGCCAGTATCCTATATTAAATCCCCTCTGTTGGAATGCTTTCATTTTCTTGACTGATCTCTGATAAATGTTGATTCTGACCCTGACAAGAAACCTGGTTTAAAAGGGTTCCACTGGTTGAATTAGCAAAAGGTTGGAGGCTTTCTCCCTTCATGGTGACATCACTAAAAGATGGGCAGAATGAGGACAGTTAGATGGGCAGAGATGCTCTCCTGGGGAACTTCATACTCTCTAACATCCTCCAGAAATCTTTAGGTTGAGAGATGAGCCCACACCATGCTGATGGCTTCCCCATTTTGCCCTACAGTGGTCTGTCTTAGAGTGCTTCTTCCTTGGCATTTCTACATATGAAGAATTTTGAAAACTACACTCTAATACTCTACAATCACATCTTTCTTTTGTAAATCCTCAAAGTTAGACATTGGAGGCAGTGGGAAAATGACAGTGGTTCTCAAGGTATAGTCTGAGGACCCATGGGGAATCATTGAAACCCTCAGAAAGTATTCATGCACTATTATTATCACAATAGTAAGACTTGATTTGCCTTTTTCATTTTAATTCACTCATAAGGGTGCAATGAGATTTCAAGAGGCTACATACATGGATACAGAAACAGATTGTAGGCAGAAGCAGATATGGGAATTTCAGTTCAGTTCAGTTCAGTTGCTCAGTCATGTCCAACTCTTTGCTACCCCATGGACTGCAGCATGCTGGGTTTCCCTGTCCATCACCAACTCCTGGAGCTTGCTCAAACTCATGTCCATTGGGTCAGTGATGCCATCCAACCATCTCATCCTCTGTCATCCCCTTCTTCTCTTGCCTTCAATGTTTACCAGCATCAGGGTCTTTTCTAATGAGTCAGTTCTTCCCAACAGGTGGCCAAATTATTGGAGTTTCAGCTTCAGCATCCATCTTTCCAATGAATATTCAGGACTGATTTCCTTTAGGACTGACTGGTTTGATCTCCTTTCTGTTCAAGGGACTCTCAGGAGTCTTCTCCAACACCACAGCTCAAAAGCATCAATTCTTTGGCACTCAGCTTTCTTTATAGTCCAACTCTCACATCCATACATGACTACTGGAAAAACCATAGCCTTGACTAGATGGACCTTTGTTGGCAAAGTAATGTCTCTGCTTTTTAATATGCTGTCTAGGTTGGTCATAGCTTTTCTTCCAAGGAGCAAGCGTCTTTTAATTTAGCTGTCTTTTATTCAGATATCAAGGAGATTCACAAAAGTAGAAAAGAGTGCTATTATTATAATTCAACTTTTATTTTGGAAAATAAAGTTATTTATTATAAAAATATGTTATTTATGCTAATATGTTTCTTATTTCTATTTTCTAGTGAATTAATAAATCCTGGTGTGGAGTTGGTACATTTTCTTCACTTTCACTAGTCACTTAAGTTTCATGCTCCAGCCCCTGGCCATCTGGAGTTTAGTCCCCACATGGATGTCAAATCCAGGGAAATCATTTCCAAGATTTTCAATGCCCCAGGCTGGTTCTCCTTCCGGGGGGTCCATGTCCTTGCCCTAGGACACATACTCGTCCTGTCCTGATGCTTCAGTCACCACCATTACATTACTCACAAGAGTGTCAGACTCCAGCTTTTTTGACCCCAGTCTCAGGAGACACCTGTCCAACTCACTTAGTGGCCTCCCACAGTGAGGGGAAGCATCGCACTCTTCCCCCATGGGGACAGCTGAACCCGATGCCATACTGACACTAGCCATTCCCAGCCTCAAGCTACAGGTTGCAGAAATAGTTTTCCCTCCCTTCTTCTGTGGGTGCTGCTGCAGTCTTTCTAATATTTGACTGTGGAAGGTGGGAATAGTTGACCCACATTATCTCAGGGTCTCAGTTGAAAGTTAGGTAGAAATAACTAGTCCAATTTTTAACATCTGTCACAAAATCATCCTGAATTTCTAATGAAATATCTCTCATTATTTATATATTATACATAAGGAAATTAAAGTTCAGAGAAAATATTAATAATTAAAGGTAAGTGACTAAGCCAGGATTTGAACTCTGGTATGTCCAAAATTGAGGGGGCATGACAAACCATTCCAGTAATCTTGCCTTTAGAATTCCATGGATGGGTAAGCCTGGTGGGCTATAGCCTATGGTGTTTCAGTTTATGCATATTGTCAAGTTGCTTTCAGAGAAGTTCTAGCAACTTAAGCTCTCATTAGTGGTGAATGAACATGTCCCTTTCACCATATTCTTGCAAAAAGTAGGCCTTTATCACTTTTTAACCTTTGCCTATTTATCAGACAATAGATGATATCTCATTGCTGTTTTAACTTGTTTTTCTTTGATTACTACTGAAGATGAAACTGTTTTTATATTTATTGGTCATGTTCTTGATCATTAAAAAATTAAATTGTTTTTTCCTTATTGATACGCAGGAACTCTTTATTATCAGAGGACTGAAATCTTGTCATATGTTATAAATATTGCTCTAGTTTTTCACTTATCATTTGATTTTATGAATTTTTTGACATTGCACACATTTGAAGATTTTATGTAATTAAACCTAGTAAAATTTTTTTGGCCTTCCCTTTGTAATATCATGCTCAGAGAAATTGGAATACTTCCTAAAATATTTTTTTCAAGAAGGTATAAATCTGTTATGTTTTCTGAATCTTTGGATGACTGGGAATATGTTTCTGTGACTCTTATGTGGGAGCAATATCTTGGCAGGTGGAGCATTTTTGACACACCATCCTCAAAATGCTGTAGAAGCTATTCCACTCTTTTCCAAAATTTACTGTTGAGAGAGAAGTCTGATACCAAAAAGATTTTTGTCTCCTAGTATGTCCCCAGTTATTTGTAAGAGCAGAATGACTGCAAGATTATTCTTTATATTTGGAATAAAAATGAAAAACCAGACATGATGAGAGTCTGTTTTACACTTTCTGGAGTTCAGTGGGTTTTATATTAAAGTCAAGGATTTCTACAACTAAAGAAAATTATCTTTTTTTAAAAAAAATTTGGTCACCACTTCTTCTCAGTCTGATGTATTCTCTTCTTCTGGGTTTCCTAGTCAATCTCCAGGACCTATCCTATATGCCTCTTATTTGAGTTTCAGAATTTCCCCAGTGGGCTGACTGGTTTTCTCACCCTGTTTGTTTCTCATTGTGCAGCTTGCTTGTCAGTATGGCCATCGCATTTTTACATCAGGCAATTATTGTTTTACCTAAAAGTAGTCTTCCCTGGTCTCAGACTGTTTCTTTTTCACGAGTGCTGTCTCCTCAAATTTTTACTGAGAATCTGATTTAATATCTTAGAAACTTCCCTTTCCTGTCGCAAGCTTTTTTTGAAAGAGCTCTCCTCTTTGGAGATCATGAACATTTTTTCTATATTTAAATGCTTCTCTGTTTTCTCATCCTTATGAGGGAGTGCTGTTTGCCCAGTTTAGGAAACTGGAAGAGGTCCGGTTAGAGAGTGTTCAGGTTCATGTCTGATTTCTTCACTGTGCAAAAAAGGATCAAGGAAGAATCGATCATTTCTGTAGTTTAATTTCTCTGAATCAGCAGTCCCATTTTCTAGCAGGTTGAAGAAGGAACCACATCCCACGGTGGTCATGTGACAAGCGCTTCCCCACTGCCCCCACATTCCTTCCCACCTGTTAGGAGCACCATCCTCTTTCTCTAATGGACAAGATGGTCTTGTTGTGAGAGTGTTGCTCTTATCGCATTGTTTGAACTGGACTGAACTGAAATGGCAGCGGATGTGCCTTTTACGGCAGATTGTGCTGAGAAGGGAAATTCGCACCTGTTTGGATCTGGCATTACATTTATAGAGAGCAAGGGGGAAACAAATACAAAGGCCAGCATGTCGGGGATGATTACTGCCAAAATTACTTACCAAAGACATCTGCGAAGCTGTGATCCAGTCAGGAGGGATGTGGAAATGAGCCCCAGCTGAGTCTCCCAGCAAAATGACTCCCCTGGGCTGTGAACCTAGGCGGCACAATTTATTTGCATTATTTATACACAAGTAGTTTGGAGCCTCCAGGTTAGGTGGTTAGGTGAGCACATACCCTGGTGTGTATTCTGTGCATGGAGCATCATAACAGTGATACATTGCCACTTTTTGAGTGTTGGAGGGTGAGGGGCATAGCATTTAGGAGCTGAATGAGATTTCTAGGCCACTGAAACTGCCAACTAAGCTATAGAGATGCAGGTGTGTTTCCTAGCTCCGCATAAAACAAACTATTGTGCAACCTCTTGAGTGAGTGATGGATGAATAAAAACATCAAAACTTTATCTTAACTCAGAAATATGCCCAGATTTTGGCCCTGAAAATTGCTTTCTTGGAAAGCATACCCATTTCTATTATAATTCACTTTAGGAATTTGTGATCTCATGGAGCAATTTTGATTTTTCAAACATGTTATGGATTTTTAAAGTCCTGAATCTATAAAGGCAAAAGCACCGAATGGACAATTATGGCTGATTGATGGAGAAATGGAGAAATAAAGTCACTGTGCAGCCTTGTACATTTGAGGTTACAAATCACTTAATCTGATTCTGAGGAATTCACCCATGGGTGATGCATGTACTCTTCCAAAATTCTTAAAGTCCTGAAAGAATCAAGTGATGCCTCCCAGAGTCAGACAGGAGAGACTCCTTTCCCACCTACAAACCCCATGAATCAAGCCAAGGACGGTCCAGCCTTACCCCAGTGGCTCCCTATGTCAGGACTCTGGGACAGCTAGCATTTGGCTATGCAACTGGGGACTGAACAGACCCAGGACATCAAGGAGGGGATGGGATTTAGGGAATCCAAGAGACTTCCCATAGTGACCCCAGAGCCTCACACCATGGTTTCACTTATTATTTATTCATCTGTTTGTTAATTCATTCTTTTATTCATCCAACAGCATGTCTAAATGGTATGACTTATGTATTGGGTCCTTACATTTTCTAGCTCTATCCTACTCCTCTGACAGCTTAAAGACAGTTAGACTTTAAGTCGATTGAGGACAAGGACTATATCATGTCTGCCCATGAAAACTCAGAGCCAAGTATAGTCCTTGGTGCATAATAGGAATAGGTATTCATGAAATATCCTGTTGAGTGAATGAAATATTTTTAAATGTTAGGAAAAAGCACTGCCTAAACAAAACTAGTGATGCCACCATAGGGTCTTGTTTGAGGCTCTTTGGGCATCAGCAGTACCATCTTTTCAGTACTATGTGGTTGGTATTAATAAGTTTCTCCTAAGAGTATTGGTAGGCTTCCCAAGTGGCATAGCGGTAAAGAAACCACCTGCCAATGCAGGAGACGTGAGAAGTGAGGGTTCAATCCCTGGGTTGCGAAGATCCCCTGGAGGAGGAAATGGAAACCCTCTCCAGTATTATCGCCTGGGAAATCCCATGGACAGAGAAGCCTGGCAGGCTACAGTCCATGGGGTCTCAGAAGAGTTGGACATGACTTAGCAACTAAACAAAGATTACAAAGAGTACTGGTGGCCCAGGTGTCTGTGGCATTTGGGCATTTGGAATACAGAGCTCTTGTTCAAGTGTTTTCGGGAACTCTCAGCAGTTATAGTTTGGCGGCCTCCCTCAAGTTACCCACATAAAAGCCTTTAGCCCATTTGACACAAGCCCAGATGTCTGACCTTATGGTGTATTGAGAAAGACACAGAGAAGATAGAAGATTATCACCTCCACTTACTTTTCTTATTTGGAGAAGTGCTGGATTTAAGTTACCATGGTATCTATTTTACAGCCTTTAAGACAAAACTGTATTTTATGTTTGTGTATAGTTGATTAATTAATAATGTGTCAGCTTCAGTTGTACAACAAAGTGGTTCAGTTACACATATACAGGGACTTCCCTGGTGGCTCAGATGGTAAAGTGTCTGCCTGCAACGTTGGAGACTCAGGTTCAATCCCTGGGTTGGGAAGATCTCCTGGAGATGGAAGTGGCAACCCACTCCAGTATTCTTGCCTGGAAAATTTCATGGATGGAGGAGCCCGGTAGACTACAGTCCATGGACCCCAAAGAGTCGGACACGACTGAATGACTTCACTTTCACTACATATATACATGTATCTATTGTTTTTCAAATTTGTTTCCCAATTAGGTTGTTACATAATATTCAGCAGAGTTCCCTGTGCTATACAGTAGGTCCTTGTTGGTTATCCATTTTAAAAGTAGTAGTGTGTACATGTCCATCCCAAACTCCCTAACTATCCCTCTAATAACTTTCCAGTCACCCAATAAAGGAATCAGTTAAACTCAGTTTTTCTTTGTCTAGATTCTGCCTCATTTCTATAATCTTTTTCATATATTTTTCTAATTTGTCATGAAAACAAATGTAAACTGGTCAACATTATGCTGTAGTATCAGGCACTTCCTCATTTGTCTGTTTGACTCAGACTAGAAAAGAATATTCTGTTAGGATAAATACACTGATTTTTACCATTCATACCTTCACAGAATTTCTTCTCATATGGGATTCCATCTTTTGGATCCACACCCTTTAAGAGAGAAATGATGAGATTAGCAGTTTGCTTTTAAATTTATGAGACACAAGTACAAAATCCTCCCCAGATGGCTTTCAAAGCACAAAGGCAAATCAGTAGATAAAATCCTTTAAAGTCTCTTGAGCCCTTAATCCAACGTAGCAACATTCTATGTGAGTGAGTTAGGCTTTAAGGACCTGGGGCAGGAATAAGGAGAGATCCAGAAACTGGACCATCTTGCTCAGAAGGATGCAGGGCAGAGCTCTGAGTGCTGGAAGTGTCACTGGGAAGGAGCACTGAGGGTCCATTCAGTGCCTGGGACACAGGGGTAGAGTGGGCTCAGCGGTCTCTGAACCGGAGCTCTAAGTATCCTGACTTCTCCAGTGCCTGAGGATCGATGCTTCTAGAGCAGGGATTCTCAACGGGGCTGGTTTTAAGGCAGCCCCCTACTCGCCCCTGCCCTGCAACCATCCCCAAGGGACTTTGGCAATGTCCGGGGACATCTTTGGTTGTTACAGTGCAGGGAGGGCGAGCTACGGGCATTTAGCGGGGAGAGGCCAGAGATGCCGCTGATCATCCTACATTTTGCAAGCCAGCCCAAACAGTAAGACGTCATCCCAAATGTTGATACAGTGACACTGAGAAACCCACAAGTGAGGTAGAGCTTGTGAGTTGGACAGGGTTACCATAGCTGAGGGCACTTCCTAACACGAACGCTAAGTCTGTGCATTAGTAGAGTAACTGGTCCTTGGAAGGTTCAAGCAGAGTCTGGATAACCCTAAGGAAAAGTTAATACACATATATAGTTATGTTTTCTTGTTTTGTTTTGCTTGTCAAACTGGTCTGGAGAGCACTGGCATTCCACTAGGTAGTAATGGTATTAACAGTATTCTAGGAAGAGCCTGATGATCGGAGATGTATTAGAAACAGTGTTTTCACTCTCTTGGTCTTGGGGGCTCCTAGTGTGCAATAAAACATTAAAGATGATGAGAAATTCAGAAGTAAAGAAAACTGTTTAGGTTTATTTGACCCAGTACTTTCTAAACTTGGCTATAGCACCCCTCCTCCCGTATCTTTTAACCTCCCACTCGATAGAGGAGTTCCTGGACACAGTTAGGAAAATGTTGGACTTGGTGGTTGCAAAATCCTCTCTGAGTTCATGATTTTGTGATTCTGGGGGTCATCTCTCCTATGTGGAAACGGATAGGTGTGAAGGTCATGTGTCTTTTTCCTATTAACTGATGATGAACTCTGAGTCTTGTCTCTCTGGGCTCCTGGTAGATTTCCACTGGTGTAGCACAGTCTCTTATTGGCCTTCCATATGTAGGTGGGGTCACATGTCAGAGGCAGGGATGGGGTCATGGAACCAAGATGGGAGCTTTACATACTAATAACCTCTGTGTCATTCAACAGGACAGCTAAGCTTGAGTCTATCAGAACAAGAGCTGCCTTAGGGGTCCTGACACCTCCATACCTTAAGACTAGGGGTGATGTCTTCCCCTCCTCATGAGAAGGCAATTTGACTAATGATAGGGTGGGTGGGGTGGGCTATACTAGGATACAATCTGTCTTGCTCTCCATATCCCAGAAACAACAGACCATCAGTGTCCTGGAGAGAAGAAACTATTTACAGACACTTTCTCCTCTTCATCCAAGCAGACAAATTAGGCAGCCATTCAGAGGCAATTTATCTTGAAGCTGGGGAATCTTAAACTTCGAGGCCCCTTGTTTGTAGGATCCCTGCCTGTGTGAGTGCTGGGAGCAGCTGGCAGCGGTAGAGTGTTTTAGGTGGAGAGGAGTCTGGCTGTAGCCAGAACAATGTTTCCACTTAAGCACTCCTGGTAAATCGGAAAAGAGATCTCAAAAGAAAAGGACCTGAATTTCCAAGACTCCAGGAATTTGTTAAGATTTCTTTTATCATTCTAGTTAATCATACTTTTATACTTGCTTTTGTATTTGGTATACTTTTTCCTTCGTGAGGACCCCTCAAATCCTATAAGCTCAAGACCTCACAAAATTTGATTTGCTGCCGTTGCTGTCTTCAGATAAGTGTTTGGCTTTTCTCCTTCTTCCCTTTTCTCTACTGGAAGCTACTAATCTATTATTCATAAGGAACCAGGGTAGCAGCATAGATGTTTCGGGATGTAGGGAGTGGGGAAACTACAGGTAATTTCCTCTCTGCCTGGCTAGCCTTATGAAACAGGAAAAAAATGGCTGCAATGAAATGGTGACAGCATGTGATTTGCTCCACCAGCTGTTTGGGTTGCTGTAAAAACTTTGCTAACACCACGATCCATTTAATTTCACACTGTTTCAGACAGAATCAAGGGGTTAGGTGTGAGTGACCTTAAACAAGACTTACAGTGGCTGTGACTGAGAGCCTCAGCTCTCATTACATCATTGACACTTTTCACGTGTGATTGGATTCTATTCCCTTCTTTCAAACCGCAGAAAAAGAGTTGCCTTAGCCTACCATCTTATCTTCTTTCTTAGGTCTGACTAAGCAAACAGGCAATGGGCTTGTAAGGAGGGCAGAAAGCGAGAGAATAGGGTTAAGTCTGAATTTAGTTGCTTACCCAAATGCCATTACAGTTTGAATCTTGATATGAGTCCCAGTTGTCTGGCCTACAGAGAGGACATCCACATTAGTCTTCAGCATATATTTATCACCCTGAATGTCAGCTTCACAAATGAAGGAATGAATGAATGAGTGCTACACCAAGTGTCACTGATAACCAACAGGTTCTTCAAGGAAAATGCCACACACAATTGTGTGTTGTGGCCCACAGAAGCCTCACTTGGCCACTTTGTCATTCTCTTGGCTTTGGGTGTTTGCTGGGAGCTGGGACCAAATGCAGCCTTTTCATAACTGACTACATTCATGTGCGGTATTGTTGGATAATGGTGCTGATGAGCGTAATGAACACATCTGCAGTCTATTTTCTTCAGACAGGTGACACCATTAAAGTTACGCCTCTAAAGTCCCAAACATCTGGTTAATGCTTTAGCACTGTAGTCACAGCTAAGATGAAGGCTGGCATATCCAGTTTGAGTTCTGAGATGTGATTGGCTGAACATCAGCCTGGGCCTAAAATGAAAGCCGCACTCCACTCCCTGCAGTCCTTGCCTTACTCTTGGTGGAAAAGGCTACTCTTTCTGGACCCAGGGCTGCCGGTAGAGCTTGGGCAGGAGATCGGATAAACGTCCATAGTAGCCTGTCTACTCACTTGTTTCTTCCACTAGACTGTAAACTCATATTTCTATTCGTTCACCATGCAGCATGATGCAGAGTGGTTGGTCATGCCCGATGAGCATTTTGGGGGGCAATAAAATGAACAATTACTGTTTTTTTTCGTTGAGTTTTACTTTAGCAAGGACACGGAGGTCCCTTCTCTCTGTAAGCACGAATCCCATAGTCTGGAGGAGACAATTATGCCTCCTGCCTCCTTTTCAGAAGGTAATTTTCAAAATCAGTGATGAGCAGAGACCATTACCTTCTGCCTGGGTATACCATCCTATTGCTGTCATTGCAATCTCTCCCTCGCCAGTGAAAGCCTCGCAGTGTCTGAAAGGGAAGGGCACACACAGGGTCAGTTCTGCTTTGATGTTGTCCATGGTGAAGCCCAGTCAGAGCTGTCATAGAGGTATTGACATCTGCAGTTTCAAATTCAAATATAGTCTGGGAACACCAGAGATCACTAAGAAAATTAAGATGAATATGCTAAGACCTCCCGAGTGAGGTGAAATATAATATGGTACCAGGGCCAATCACAGGTGTAGCATGTGTGTGAGTGTGCCAATATGTGAAAGTATGGGGATGCATCTTTGTGAATGTGCAAATACGTGAGCATGTGTACAGTCACATGGGTAGTTATGTGAGTGCATGTTTCACACACATGTGTCTGTGTGTACATGTGTGTTCATGTGTATGTGTCTATGTGTACTTCCACACACAGCAGGGCCATCCAACTCCCTGAACTTTCTCTATTGATCATCAATTCTCAGGCCCCAAAGCAATTGGTTTATGGTGTCCAACAATTAATAATTTTACTGAATAATTAAAAACTCTCTAGCCAAACTGGTTACTTGCATGGATTTATTATATTTTTGACATGTCTGATTCAAAAGGATCAAGAGCCATGATGATGTTAAACAATGCTTTTATTTCTCAAATTGCCAGGTAGAGTATCTGAGAGCCCATCAACTTTGGAAAGTTTGTGACATGTGTTACTTGCTTGTTGAATTTCACAGAGAATATTATGATATCCTAACTATTCTAAATCAAACATGTGCACACAAACACATATACACTTTTAAAAAGTAAGTTAATTTAAGAATTTTGAAAATAATTCATGACATGTTATCAAGATAACTGTTATCCCCATGGGAAATTCCAGCTGGGAATGGCTTCAGGAAATGAAAACAGTCTAGGACTAAGATCCGTTTTGATGGTCCATGTGGAGATACCATAAAGGTATATAAACATTATAAAATGGTGTATTATCAAATTAATGATACATTCAAATGGCATTCAATCTTGTCTTATTAAAGAAAAGAAATTTATAGGAAGCAATGCAATATTTACTGGACGTCTGGTTACTCTTAACAATACTCACTGGGAAATCACTATATTTGTCTGAATCTGCATCTTTCAATGGCACTGAATTTTGTATAGCTCTAGAAGAAAGAAAATGAAACACCTGTGAGCTAAGAAAAAAGAAAGTGTGTTTGTGAAAATAAACAGACATGTTTAGATATTACTGTGTTGAGTTTACTTAACAAAACCCCATTCTAAAAATCAAATTAAGAGCCTAAATAAAAATTTTAAAAGTAAAGATAAAATTGAGTACCAGCCCAACTTTGCTTATTTCTACTCCCCACTCAGCAGAACGATTTTCTCTCTGACACTTTACTTGGCCTATATGGGTAAGTAAAATATAATGAACTCAAGTTTTAGAAGGCATGCAATATGGCCTGTTGAGGTCCTCAGGAAAGGAGACTACAATTTTGGTCCAGTCAATGAACTTAGTACTAGAGATTTTACACATTTTATATATTCTGGGACAGAAGTCTTAAGATTCTCCTCTTTTAAATCACTTCATCTGAGAACCATTAGGCATTTAGTTGTCACTCCCCTTCAAGAGGCCGGGCGTAATTGATGTGATTGATGATCGAGCAATTAATGCCAAAAACTACGGATACCTCCTTTGAGCGAGGATTTCCCCTAAGTCTTCACTACCAGACTTTCCCCAGCTTCCAAATGGTAAACACTGTTTTCCCTTTAGGAGAATCACTTACAGAGTAGCAGGCAAGTGCCATCATATGGCAGAGTGAGGTTACTCTTGGAGCTTAGAATGTAGAGAGAGTAACACGCTCCCTTATAGGTTTTAGTAAATGGTCTTCTGAATCAAGAGCTTCTCAGCAGTTCTGAGAGTCTCAAGGCTAGTGAATTCAGCCAGAGCCAGCATGGAGCCTAACTGGTGGTGTGGAGCCTGTCTTAAGAGCTCTGGGATGGTGGAGTCACTGGAAGTCCACTTTATAGACCTCTTGGGAGATGACATCCCCTGTAAGAATAGGTAGGGTTCTCCCATGTATGTATTTGAACTCTTGGATAGCTGTTTTAGGCTCCTAGTTGAGAAAAGGAGGAAAGACACAGAGCAAGAGAAAGAATAAGAGGAAGAGGAGGAGGGAGAGGGATGGGGTAGGGAGGAGAGAGAGGATGAACAAACCCAAACAGCCATATTATCAGTCTGAGGAAAAGCGCTGGTGAAAGGTCTCTCTCAATGATGCCAAAACTATCTCCTTGTACCTTTGCCACTTTGGGGGTGAGAGTTTGTCCTTGAAGGAAGGAACAAATGAATTTCTAGAATTAGAACGTTTGGTCATTTTATTAACCTTTACTTGTTTATTTTAAAGGCTCAAAGTAACTAAACAAAACCATACATTCTAGACATGCATGGGTAGATTGGCCATCCTAAATCTCATAAGTTGCAATTTACATAAACTCCACAATCCCTTATTCATAGCCCACGTATCCAAACAGTCCTGAAAACCAAGAGTTGTTTCTTATTTTCAACGTTGCAGCTAATTTATTTGGTGGCAAAATTTGACCTAAACCAATCTAAGGCAATTCATAACCTATACCCTACTTAATATGATTATCCATATATTTCACTGCTGAAATATAAATGTGTTTAATCAGGAGGTGCTAAGAGTGTAAGTGAGTGTGGTGATTTACAGTATATACTTGATATGTCACTTTCTTAAAATCTGGGAAATTCTGAATTCCAAATTACAATTGGCTCCAAGGTTTTGGATAAAGCATTGTTGACTTATACTATCATTGCTTCTTCAAAATTGTATATAAATTTGATACATTGTGTATCCTTACAGGTACCTGGTTGTATGCCAAAATATTCATTCATTCATTCCATAGCTATTTTTGAATCCCTACCATGTGCCAGACATCATATTAGATATTAAGGATGAGTATTAGATACATTTCTTATGCTAGAAGAGCTCAGTGATGGATGGGGAAAACAATGCATTAATACATAGCTACAGTGCTATGGAGAAAAATTCTCTAAGAGGGTTGTGCACGCAGAGGGAAGACATTTCCCTCTCTACAGGGAAGGAGGCAATCTTAAGGTGAAAGTTAAAGGATTAGAAAGCATTTTCAAAGCAAGTAATTGGGTGACAGGCATTCTAGTAGGAAGGAAAAGTATGGGAAACCCTTTAACATAGCTCTAGGTTCTGAAATTAGACTCCTTGGATTTGAATCCCAGGTCTGCTGTACATAACCTTATGGCAAATTCTTTCATCATTTTTACATCTGTTGGCTCATTTGTAAATGGGGTCAATGTCAGTACCTGCTTCCTTGGACTGTTGCAAAGACTAAATGAGTGGTGCTTCACTACATGTGAAGCAAGGAAGACCTGTGCCAAGCATGTGATAAGTATTCACAAAATATTAGTTTTTTTTCTTTATTATGCACAGTGCTAACAGCTATACCAAAGGTGGCTTCTAGGACTGGGCAAACAGGCTTAAGTTGTCTGCTCTTATGACATTTTAGTTTCTGGATATATCCCCAATTCAACCCATGGATTCTCTTCAGATTTTCAGGTTCCCAGCCACACAATGTCCAATCCAGTTATGCATGTCCATTATTTTTAGATATTTTTACTGTAAACTTCTTTGCTGTAAGTACCTTCACAGCAAGCATTTTTGTTACAAACATTCTCACTGTGTAACTAATTGGCCATAAGACAATTTTGCCATAAAATGTAAAATGACTGGTTGATAGTTTGTTTTGATATGTATCATACAAAAATCATGACAAAAGATGATGATTTGCCCCAAGAGCCAGTTTCTTATTTCTAAACACACTACAGTGGAGGAGAAAGAGGAAGAGGGCCTGAAAATTGCAGATTTGAACTCACATTTCCCATACAACTCTGGAATGTTTATCAACAGACATGTGACAAGATGCCAGGATCACACAACAGTATAGAGGCTTTCATAACACAATACACAAGTGTGTGTGCTCAGAGGTGTCTGACTCTTGCAACCCCATGGACTGTAGCCCACCAGGCTCCTTTCTAGGCAAAAACACAGGAATGGGATGCAATACAAAGCTTGGGTATAAATATGCATCCTAATATTTGGAAATTGATACCTCCTCTAACAAAGGAAGAAATTTTAGCAAAAAGAAAAAATGTGATGCCGAATGAGGAGGTGAATCAATGTGTGAAACATTAAGAATGAAAGACCTGGAAGACAAGTGCTCAGGTACAAATCACAAAATAAGGTCAGTCACCTGCACAGTAGTGCCATTAAATCTATGCACCCTTTAAATGGACTTCCCCGGTGGCTCAGACAGGAAAGCGTCTGCCTACAATGCAGGAGACCCGGGTTCAGTCCCTGGGTTGGGAAGATCTCCTGGAGAAGGAAGTGGCAACCCACTCCAGTATTCTTGCCTGGAAAATCCCATGGACGGAAGAAACTGGTAGGCTACAGTCCACGGGGTCGCAAAGAGTCGGACACGACTGACTCTCACTTTTCACCCTTTAAATATATTCAGGTATTTTGTATTTAGTAATAAAGTCTCTTTAATTTTGTAATTAGCCTCACGGCTAATTAGTTATATGGTGAAACTAATATTTGTGGCAGCAAAGATGTTTAAAAGAGGAAACTTACAGTGAAAATACATAGAACTCCAGTTATCACCTCGGCTGGTACAGGCAATCAACTGCTTGCTGCTCCTGCCCTCTGCCTGGGGTCTGGGCTGACAAGCTTGACCCAGTGAGCAATTGTGACTGCAGCTGAATGTTCTTCGTTACATAATATTGAGCTATTCAAGTTCAAAATGCCTAAAACTATGTCATGAAACTGGGGCATTACAACAAAAGAAAACTAGGGAAAATGAGTATCCATGAGTATCTGCCTCACATTTGAATCCCAGGCAGCAATGCAGGTTTAGAGTGGCTGTTTCTTCTGCACGTGGATGTGTTACATGCATCTCTGTAAGATGCAGTGAAAGCAGAGAAAACTATGGAAAGATACATACTGACATGTTTACATGGCTAACTGTGTGGTGGGGATAGGGACTGAGGTGCATGGCAAGAGCAGGGCATAAGCAAGAAGGAACAAATGAAAAAAGCCAAGAATGATGAATTAAAAATACAATTAACATAGGATATGATAGCCTGTGTGAATTTATGTGAAATAATACATAGGTGGGCTTAAGCATTTGGAAATTCAATAAAAAGAATACATTATCGATATTAAGAGGGGACCCTCCTGACTCACCATTGCAATAAAAAAAATTAGGCAGTGTATAAGCACTGTGAATTCTGATCAGAACAAAACAATAACAAAATCCTTGGTTGCCCCATGGCAGTAGCCTGGTATCCTACACATTTGTGTCTCTAATAAATTAGTGTTTTTTCTTTGCTTATTTATTTGCTTATTTCTTTGTTTCTTCATTGAGTCCCTACTGAGGTCAAGCACTGTGGTAGGAACCAGGGCTAAAAAGCTTACCAAGAAATGGTGTCCTCACTCTTCAAAAGCTATTGGTAGGTGTGGGAGACTGATGAGGAAGCAGCCAGGGAAGAACAGGGTGCAGGAGCAGGCGCCAGGGAGCTCAGGGTACCAAGAAGGCTAGCTATGTGGCTGGGAGCTGGAAAACTTCTTACCATGGGTGGAGATGCCACTATTGCATTTTGAAGGCATTAGAACAAACGGGGGGCAGGGAGAGGCAAGGAGCAGGAAAGGCATTCTCACTGGAGGGGATTTTACGGAAGGGTTAATGCAGTCAAAGACATGTAGGCTTGTCTCTATTACCTGCTGATTGTGTTAGTGGATCAGGCATTAAATGAACTAGAACCAACTTGTTCATCTAAAAGTGGGGCTCAGAGTCAAGGCACAGACAATGTAATGGTTCTGGGTCCAAACGTCATATGTATCCATGACTAGTTCTGTGACTTTGGGAAAATAACTTTACATCTTTAAAAAGGGGGACAAAAATGGGGTCTGCTAACAGGGCTGCCTTTATAAGAGTTCCTGGTAAAGAGACAGTACTGGGTTATTCTTCCTTGTCATTATTATCACTGAGCCACAGGTTATTTGACGAATAAATGAGGTTGCATTTAAATGTGCTTTATAAAGCAAACAGCACTGAATAAATTGTGACCCGGTATGAATTATACCAGAAGCACAGTGATTTTTAGAAGAAGAAAAATATATTGCTTTTGCTTTTTCATAAAAAGAGTTTCCCTTTTAAATTGGGCCAGGAAAATCTCTGGCCACAGATGCTCTTGAATTCAGTGTTTCAAAGGTGGTTCAATTGCAGAGATGTTGTTTTGGTCCTGCAGGCCCACGTTTGACACAGAAAATATAATGATAATTTCAGCAAGGAGGAGACAGGAGTCTCAATTCAACAAGAGCTAGGCATGATGAAATGATCAGGGGCCTGGGGACCTAGGGATCTGGCTGTCTCTCAGCCTCCCAGCACCTTCTTTCATGTCTCATATTCCCCCTCCACTCTTCATATCCTGATGCTGTCCGCCTCCACCTCTATTCATGAAAAGCAGTGTTGATAACTGTTTCCGGGATCTAGGCCAGCACTTCGCACAGCTGGCTTACAGGAACTCATGTGGGCAGATGAACCAGGAAAAGTTCTTAAACTAAGAGGTTCTGAATGTGGGTCAGAAGCACAGCCTTCTCCACTCCTGACATACATTCAAAGCAGATGGGGGCTGTTCAGTGGCTTTAGCGGCCAAGAAGCTCATGAGATGAAGGATGGAGGAACATAAGAAAAGTGCCTCTGTTGTGGGCTCAACTGTGTTCACCAAAGAGAGCTGTTGAGGTTCTAACCTCTGGTCCCTGTGAATGGGCACTTACTTGGAAAGAGGATGTTTGCAGATGTTGTTAAGTTAGGATGAGGTTATTAGTTCAGTTCAGTTCAGTCACTCAGTCTTTGTTACCCCATGGACCTGCAGCATGCCAGGCTTCCCTGTCCATCACCAATTCCCAGAGCTTGCTAAGCTCATGTCCATCAGGTCGGTGATGCCATCCAACTGTCTCATCTTCTGTCATCCCCTTCTCCTCCTACCTTCAATCTTTCTCAGAATCAGCGTCTTTTCCAATGAGTAAGTTCTTGGAATCAGGTGGCCAAAGTGTTGGAGCTTCAGCTTCAGCATCAGTCCTTCCAGTGAATATTCAGGACTGATTTCCTTTAGGAGGTCATGGTTTGATCTCCTTGCAGTCCAAGGGACTCTCAAGAGTCTTCTCCAGCACCACAGTTCAAAAGCATCAGTTCTTCAGCACTCAGCCTTTGTTATGGTCCAACTCTCACATTCATACATGACTACTGGAAAAACCATAGCTTTGACGATATGGACCTTTGTTGGCAAAGTGATGTCCCTGCTTTTTAATATGCTGTCTAGGTTGGTCATAGCTTTTCTTC